GATGCAGGAGCCCAAGTACTTGGGCCATCTTCCACTGCTTTCCTAAGCCATTAGCAAAGAGCTGGATTGGAAGTGGAGCAGCCAGGATTCAAACTGGTGCTTATATGGGATGCTGGCAGTGAAAGGTGGAGGCTTAACCTACTATGCCATAGCATTGGCCCGTATAGCTATCTTTTTTGAAATTTTAAAATAATAAATGCCTATTATTCTCATCTTCAGGAAAAAACCTAATTTCATTTTAGAACATAAAATAAATTGAAGAACTAAGAAGTCTCAATAAAAAATAAATAGTAGGTATTAAACAGAAGATATGTTGTACTATATGACACTGCCTTTTTTTTTTTTAAATGTGATATAGTTTTTTGTTTTTTTTTAAGATCTATTTATTGAGGGGCCGGCGCTGTGGCTCACTTGGTTAATCCTCTGCCTGTGGCGCCGGTGTCCTGTATGGGCGCCAGGTTCTAGTCCCAGTTGTTCCTCTTCTAGTCCAGCTTTCTCCTGTGGCCCGGAAGGGCAGTGGAGGATGGCCCAAGTGCTTGGACTCCTGCACCCACACGGGAGACCAGGAAGAAGCACCTGGCTCCTAGCTTCGGATTGGAGCAGCATTGGCTGTAGCAGCCATTTGCAGGGTGAACCAACGGAAGGAAGACCTTTCTCTCTCTCTCTCTCACTATCTATATCTCTATCTGTCAAATTAAAAAAATATATATTTATTTATTTGAAAGGTGGAGTTACAGAGAGGCAGAGGCAGAGAGACAGAGAAAGAGAGAGGAAGATCTTCCATCTGCTGGTTCACTTCCCAGATGGCCACAACAGCTAGAGCAAAGCCAATCTGAAGCCAGGAGCCATGAGCTTCTTCTGGGTCTCCCATGCAGGCCTAAATACTTCATCCATCCTCTACTGCTTTCCCAGGCCATAGCAGAGACCTGGATCAGAAGAGAAGTAGCCGGGACTGGAACTGGCACCCACACGTGATGCTGGCACTGAAGATGACGGCTTTACCTGCTATGCCACAGCGCCGGCCCCATCTTTGTTTTAATTTCCTTTGTTATTACATTTGTGTAATAAAATCACAGGCAATAAATTTCCCTTAGGACTTTTAAAATAGGGCCCAATGCTATGGCGTTGTAGGTTAAGCTACCAGTTGCAGCACCAGCATCCCATATGGGTGCCAGTTTAAGAGCCAGCTGCTTTGCTTCCAATCCAGCTCTCTGCTAATGGCCTGTGAAAGCAGTGGAGAATGGCCCAAGCACTTGGGCTCCTGCAACCACGTGGGAGACCCAGAATAAGCTCCTGGCTTTCTATTGGCCCAGCTCTGGCTAATGTGGCCATCTGGGGAATGAACCAGCAGGTAGAAGATCTCTCTCTCTCTCTTTCTCCTTGTCTCTGTCCGCAACTCTGCCTCTCATATAATTAAAGAAAAAACATTTTTAAATATGAAGGAAAAGCTGAATACTTCCTAAAACTACGTGTAGTTCAAGGGCCCCTGGGCATCCCCAAGACTGTTTCAGGAGATCTGTAAGTATAAAACTATTTTCATAACACTAAGATGTTACAGGTCCTTTTCACTCTCATTTCTTCACAAGTATACAGTGGAGTTTGGGTATAGTATCAAAAAATAATAATTGCAATTATCTGAAAATGCCATATATTTATCTAAATGAGCCAACAAAATACTTTTCCAACTATATCTCCCATGAACCTCTAATTTATTTACATGTTTCAACTAAGACTATGCACCAAAACTGACCACAGAAAGCAGATATGAAAAGCAAGCTGCTGACCGTGCTCATCAAGATGGCACGGAAAGATAAGGAGGAAGCCCCTGCTCCTTTCAAAGCCAAACACAAAGCTAAGGTTTGGAGGCCAAAAAGGAAGTGGTGAAAGGCATCCATGGCCACAAAAAAAACAGAAGATGCCCAAGTTACCCAGGTTTTGGCAGCACAAGACACTTCATCTCCAAAGGAAGCACAAATATCCTCAAAAAGTGCCCTTAGAGCAAACAAGCTGGACCAATATGCCATCATCAAGCTGCGCTTGATCAGCCACTGTGCCACAACACCGGCCCCTTTTTTTATTTACTTACTGACTGACGTATTTGTTTATTTAATTTGAAGAGAGGGGGAAAAGGAAAAGGAAGGGAAGGCGGAGGTGGAGGGGGAGGAGAAGAGGGAGACAGATAACTCCCACCCACCAGTTCACACTCTAAATGCCTGCAACAGCTGGAGTTAGGCCAGGCCAAAGTCAGGAGTTCAGAACACAATCCAGATCTCCCATGTGGGTGACAGGAACCCAAGCACCAGAGCCATCACTGTTACCTCTCAGGGTGTACATTAGGGGGAAGCTGAAACTGAAAACAGAGCCTGGATGTCCCAAAGGGTGAATTTTTGGTTTTGTTTTGTTTACTTATTTATTTGAAAGGCAGAGTTACATAGTTACACAGAGACAGAAGGAGAGACAGAGAGGAAAAGCCTTCATATGCTGGTTCACTCCACAATGGCCAAGGCTGGGTCAGGCTGAAGCCAGAAGCCAGGAACTTCCTCCCTGTCTCCCACTTGGATGGTAGGGGCCCAAGCCCTTGGGCCATCTTCCACTGCTTTCCCAAGTGCATCAGCAGGGAGCTCCATCAAAGGGGAGCAGCCAGGAATCGAACCAGTGCCCAAAGGAATGCCAGCACTGCAGGCAGAGGCTGGTTTAACACAGCTGCACCAAAGGAGGCTGGCTACAAGCACCTGCCACTTCAGAACCAATTTCTAATACAGAAATTATAAACATATATAACCCTATGTAAAACAAAAATTCACCAGTGTCCTCAATTTTTAAGATAAAAGTTTTGAGACCACAAATTTTAAGACCTCCTGTACTAAAGTATTTCTTACACTATAAGAAAAATATAATTGTACAAAAGAGTGCTTACTTCTTAAAAAAATAAAGGTGCTTAAAAGTGAATTTATAATTTGCAGGACAAATGATTATAGGATTTGCTTAAAAATAATCTGAGGGGTAAAGGACAAATGGGTGGAAGGCTATATGTTAATAATTACTGAATTGGAGTCCATTATACCAGGCTCTCTACTTTCACATATGCTTGAAATTTTCCCTTGTAAGATTAAAGAATCAAATTCTGGGGCTGGCATTGTGGAATAGTAGGCTAAGCCTCTGCCTGTGGTGCAGGCATCCCAAATAGGTGCCAGTTCATGTCCAGGCTGTTCCTCTTCCAATCCAGCTCTCTGCTACAGCCTGGGAAAGCAGTAGAAGATGGCCCAAGTGATTGAGCCTCTGCACCCACGTGGGACACCCGGAAGAAGCTCCTGGCTCCTGGCTTCATATCGGCCCAACTCCGGCCATTGCAACCATATGGGGGGAAACCAGCAGATGGAAGATCTTTCTCTCTGTCTCGCCCTTTCTCTGCCTCTCTCATCTTCTATAACTCTGCCTCTCAAATAAATAAATAAAATCTTAAAAAAAAAAAAAGAATCAAATTCTTATCTGTGAAGTTGAATAAGAAAAAAAAGTGGGGCTGCAAATGTTATTACTAAAAATGAAGGAAAATAAGAAAAAAAGCTATTCACATAGTTCCCAATTCACTTTTTTGATCTTAATCAATGCCCAGTTAGTTTCATGCAGTTAAACAAATGGACACATATTGTTTAAAGTTTTGCTTTATTCATTTAAAATTAACATACACAGCTCTTATCTTTACCCACTATCAGTAACCTGACCAAAAAATAGCACCGATAGTTTCCACTTTAATATTAAAAGCTCACTAAATCTTTTAACTTGATTGATCTGGCCATAACCTAAAGTGATTTTTTTCTATGTTACACTATTGCCATCTGCTGGCCCTGTTGTCTAAGTACAGTAAACTTTTTTTTTTTTTTTGACAGGCAGAGTGGACAGTGAGAGAGAGAGACAGAGAGAAAGGTCTTCCTTTTGCCGTTGGTTCACCTACCAATGGCCACCGCGGCCGGCGCGCTACGGCTGGCGCACCACGCTGATCCGATGGCAGGAGCCAGGTGCTTCTCCTGCTCTCCCATAGGGTGCAGGGCCCAAGCACTTGGGCCATCCTCCACTGCACTCCCTGGCCACAGCAGAGAGCTGGCCTGGAAGAGGGGCAACTGGGACAGAATCCGGTGCCCCGACCGGGACTAGAACCCGGTGTGCCGGTGCCACAAGGCGGAGGATTAGCCTAGTGAGCCGCGGCGCCGGCCAGTAAACTTTTAAAACAGAAGACTCTCACTTAACTGAGGTTTTCTCCCAAAATTATCTCACAGGGGAAAAAAAAACTGTAAGTAAACAAAATTATAGAGATATATGTTGTGGCACAGTGGTTTAAGCTGCCATTTGGCATAAGTCCTGGCTGCTTTCTTTTGTTTTTTAAAGATTTATTTATTTATTTGAAAGAGTTACACAGAGAGAAAAGGAGAGGCAGAGAGAGACAAAGATCTTCCATCCACTGGTTCACTCCGCAGTTGGCCGCAATAGCCAGAGCTGTACCAATCTGAAGCCAGGAACCAGGAGTTTCCTCCAACTCTTCCCATGCAGGTGCAGGGGCCCAAGGACTTGGGCCATCTTCTACTGCTTTTCCAGGCCACAGCAGAAAGCTGGATCGGAAATGGAGCAGCCAGGACTTGAACCAGCACCCATATGGGATGCCAGCACTGCAGGTGGCAGCTTTACTCACTACGCCATAGCGACAGCCCCTGTCTTACTTCTGATTTTCTGTTAATGTATCCTGGGAGGCATGTCTCAAGTGCTTGGGTCCCTGTCCCAGAAAGATGGAGTTCCAGGCTCCTGGTTTCCACCTAGTTCAGCCCTGGCTTTTGTGGACATTTGGAGAATGAAAGCTTGCTCTCTCTCTCTCTTTGAAACACAGCCATGCCCACTCATTCTGTGTAGTGTCTGTAGCCAAAAAAGCCTACAATATCTGACCTTCTATAGAAAAACTTGCCAATCCCTGCTCTACACAATCTAAGAACAACAAAACCCGTTAGACTCACCTGAGGTGTCGTCTTTCTATACTGATCACCTCCATCTATCACATCCCTCATGATTTTTGTCTTGAGGAATTCATATTCATCTGGACTCAGGTGAATAGACTCCATGGCTTTTCCACAGCCCAGACACTGACCACTGTAATTGTAATTGTTTATATTAAATAATGTACTGAAAAATATTTTTTCTAAAATGAATAACCCCAGGACATGAGGAAAACAAAAAGTAATAGTAATAATAACAAAAAAAGTAAAACTCTGAATCATCACATGCATCTAATTTTTTGAACTCAATAATATCACAAATTAGTGTGCTAGAAAACCCAAAAGAGTAGACTGCTGGGCGCCTGGATGAAAATTTTAAAGTAATCCCTAAAATACAAATTGGTCTCAAATTTCAAGGGAAAACATCGCTAAGACTTCACACAGGCTCATAGTACCTACAGGAAAAACATTCGAGTACTGCAAGGTCTCTTTAGGCAAAACACAGCTTTTTCCCCTCGGGAATTCTTTTTTTTTTTTTAAGATTTTATTTATTTATTCAAGAAGTAGAGTTACAGACAGTGAGAGGGAGAGACAAAGAGAAAGGTCTTCTATCCGCTGGTTCACTCCCCAAATGGCCAAAGCAGCCAGAGCTGAGCTGATCCGAAATCAAGAGCTAGGAGCTTCTTCTAAGCACTTGGCCATCTTCCACTGCTTTCCCAGGCCATAGCAGAGAGCTGGATTGGAAGAGGGGCAGCCAGAACTAGAACCAGCACCTATATGGGATGTCGGTGCCACAGGCGGAGGATTAACCTACTGTGCCACAGCCTGTGGGGAGCAACTCAGACTAGACTGTTACTGGAATTAAGACTTATTCTATACATCTGCTCTCCCACAATATGGCGCTGGGACAGGAGTAAACAGCTTCTACACAGCTGCCTTTCACCAACTTGACAAGCTGTAGGAGCTGCTCCTGATTGGAGGAGAGCAGCATACTCGGCGTGTGGGTAGCAGAGTTGGGATTGGTGGAAGAGGACTATAAAGGAGGAGAGAGACAACATGCACCAGGAACACCTGAGGAACATCTGAGCAGCCCCCGAGAGAGCCGGCCGGCGGTGTGCCGCTCCCCCGCGGAAGTGGGGAAAGTGCCAGGGGGAACCGCCCTTTCACAGAGGTGGAAGGGTCGGTAGCCAACCCGGGAAGAACCAGCAGCAAACCCGGGGAGGGCCGAGCAGACCAAAGAACAGCGCAGGGTCCTGTGTCCGTTCCTCCACGAAGAGGGGGAGCGACATAATGGTGCCGTGACTCGGATAGGAAACCTAGCCAGGGTTTAGTGTCGTTCCTCCACGAAGAGGGGGAGCAACAACAGCCCTGGCCCCAAATTATAAACTCTTAACTAGAGTGTGGCCTAGTGGTTAGGATACCAGTTGGAACACTCATATCCCAAATCAAAGTGCATGGGTTTGAGTCCCAATTCCAGATTCCTGCTAATGCACACCCTAGGAGGCAGCAGGTGATGGCCCACTAACATGAGAAACCCTGGATTGAGTTTCCAGCTCCTGGTTTTTGCTTGGCCCAGCCCAGACCACTGTGGGCACTTAGGGAGTGAACCAGAAGATAAGGAGCTTTGTCAGCCTCCATCTTTCTGCCTCTCTGATCAACAAGAATAAATAACGTTTCTTAAAGAAAGGTAAACTAGATATTGGTTCTTACCTTTCCTGGATTGTGGTGAACTGTCCTTTCCATTGTTTTCCAGGAACACTACAAAAAAGTTCATAAAACCCAATCAGACATCATATTCAGAAACTCTGTGAGCAAAACTTCTGAAAAGTTCAGGTTACTTCTCCGGCACATCTAATTACAGACTGGTTCCTACACTGTGATGGTGTGAGCAGCAGACAGTACTCTACCCTGGAGCTCCTGCTTTGCTTCTCCTTCTGCCACCCGCCCCTCATCTTCCTCAATACACCTTCACTACAGTTGTACAGAGAGAAGATGTCCTTAGCCAAGTAACCTTTAAACCAAACTCAACCCTAACCTTCTCCACAAAGCTGCTGGGGATTATTCGCAGTCACAGTAATGTTTCTTATTGTCTTATACAACACTGTAATTAAACTAGTGGTACTGTACTCCCCGTTAGGTTGGACATGTCATCCTAAAAGATCTTACATAACAAAACACTCCTGGTCCCCATCCTAATGGGATGTATTCAAAAACTTTAATTTATTTGCTCAACTTATCCTTTCCTCGGCCTCTAACATAAACAAGTGCTGCCCTCAGTTCCCATTGCTTCTTTCCCTCACCATTTCTTAATTCAGAACTTCATTATCTCTCACCTCACCTAATACCATACCCAAACAGATCTGTTTCCCATCTTAATTCTTCTCAATTTACTCTTCTCATTGTTACAGCAATTACCTCTCTAAAACTCCACTTCCAAACCAGCATTATTGCTAATAGTAAAATCCAAACTTCTTGGCACTCAAAGATTTTCAAACCTGTTTCCTCTTCTGTTGATACTCAATGACTAAGCATAATTGCTATTTCAAAGAGCTATCAACATAATATATGCTTTAAAAAAAAATCAGAAGGAATGAAGGAATTTTTAAGAAAGAGCCTAAGGCAAATTAACGATGAAGAAATGAGAGTAAGAGTGAAGCAACAAGTAGGTATGTAATCAGTTACACGAATAAAAGCAAAAGAAAACCAAAGAAGAGAGCTTTGGAAAGAGATCAACTACATGATGGGATAATCCAGAACTTCTAAAAACCCTAACGTGGCCCAAGAAATACTCCATCCAAATACTACAACTCTGATCCTTTTCTTACTATTAAGTTTGGCAGGGTGGACGGCACTGTAGTGCAGCTGGTTAAGCTTCTGCCTGCAGCGCCAGCATCCCCTGTGGACAACGGTTCAAGTCCTGGCTGCTCCACTTTGGATCTAGCTCCCTGCCAATGTGCCTGGGAATGCAGCGGAAGATGGCCCAAGTGTTGAAGCCCTTCAGACACGTGGTAGACCGAGAGGAGGATTTTGGCTCCTGGACCAGTTCCAGCCATTGCAGCCATTTAGGGAGCGAACCAGGGAATGGAAGATCTCCCACCCCACCCCCTGTAACTCTGCCTTTCAAATAAAACAAATAAATCTTAAAAGAAAAAAATTTGGCCACAAGTACAATTTTTAAATCTCACATCATACCAGATATCTCAAACAAAACCAATGATTCTGGGGTGGGCATTTTGGTATAGCACTGAGACGCCTGCATCCCCTATCCGAGTGCCTGGGTCTGAGTCTCAGCCCTGGCCCAATTCCAGTTTCCTGCTAATGCACACCCTGGGAGACAGCAGTTGATGGCTCAAGTGTTCGGGCCTCTGCCACCCATGTGGGAGACCAGGGTTGAATTCCTGGCTCCTGGCTTCAGCCTGGGCCCAATGGCTATTTACTATTGCATGTAGTTACTAAAATAAAGCCACACATATAAAGAAAAATCAAAATTACCTCTCAAACCATGTTTTTATACTATGTGCAAACGACTCCCCAGGATACAGCTGATTATTTCTTAGATACAAAAGAATGTCTAGTAGTTTCTTTGAATAGTGATCATCCTTTACATCTTTTCCAAAATCAAAGAAGGCTTGTAAAGTTTCCAACATAGGACTAACACCCTGATCCAGCAATTCCTGATACAAATTCCAGGCTGTAGTTACGTCTTGATGAAGGAGGGCTCCCTGGATACAGTCATTATAGTTCTTTTTTGAAGGGATCATGACTTTCTTAATGTTTTCTAATAGCAGCAAGGCCTCTCTCCATCTGTCAGAATGGATTAATCCTCGGATGAGAAGACTGTAACCCCCAGTCTCTAACCTCTTGTATCTGGCTTTCATGATTTCGTAGACGTCAATAACTTCTGACGTTTGCTGATGAATGACACAGAGATACAAATATTTCAGCAGTACACCATAGCCTACAATGCCATTGTTTTTTGCGGCTACCCATGCCAGTAGAGATTTAGCCACATCTACAGAGCTATGGCACTCAGCCATCTGAGAGCTGATCCAAATTTCAAAATTGGTCTTTCCTTTGAAATCTTCCTTAAGTTTATCCCACTCCTCTAAATTCAAAGGTTGTTTAGGAAGTTGAATAGTGCCCTTCACGGGAGGCATGGCCCGATCCTTGTTCGGAGGATTCCTCTGTGATCGCTTCTCAGCTGCTCCAGCTGCGAAAAGATGGGAAGACTCCAAAGGCACTTGCTTTTTATTGCCCTCATTTGCTTTCCAGAGATGTCTGCCCCTGGCAATCAGCGGGTTCATTGCTTTGGTGTTTTGTGCAGACATTGCTTTAAGAGAAAACCATCTATGGTCGTTCCTGATGCCAACGCAGTTTGTGAGAAAGAGGGAGATGTAAGAATGCCTTGGACGTAGCCCAGCGTATGGGTTGCTCTCCCAAAGTTTAGGAAAACTTCGAATGCCAGACATACAGAACGCCATCGTGCAACGGAATCAGCACCCGATGGGACGAGAGATGTTCAAAACCCCCTACTTCCACAGCAAAATGAAGAAATGGAGGAGGTCGAGAGTGATGCGCCAACTTTTTAAAAGGAGATTTTCTGTTTCTTCTTTACACACAGATACGGGTCTGCTTTGGGGGCTATGTAGTAGCAACGAAGGCAGGTGAGCCCTCTCTATTAAGCGGCGACTTGGGGATATCCAACACTGGTCGTAAACCCTAATCCGGGGGTCGGGGCGGGGAGCTCCTGGTGCCTGTTAAAATCCAGCCCGTGAATCCGAGGGAAAAGCACAGGAGGTTCACAACTGTAAAAAAGGGCAGGATCCCATGGGAGCCTTGCGGGAAAGGAAGCATAAAGTTAAAACCGGGAATAGAAGCCCCCAACCCCACCAACAGTAACGAGGGCGGCCAAAGCCACGGGCTCCCGCGCGGCATAGCAAATCTCCCGGGGCCGCAAACGCGTCAGATGAGGGAAAGAGGGGGAAGGGGACAGCCGAGCCTACAAGCGAGGTCCAGGAAAGGCGCCAATTTAACCGTGTACCTGTCAGCAGCCAATGAAGTTCACTTCATTGCACAACTCACCACAGCACTCACGCCTCAGCGGCCCACAAACGTGAAGCAAACTGCAGGGTCCACAATGCACCGCGCCAGCCTCGGCCCGCGAGGCGTGCCCGAGCCGGACGCCCGCGTTTCCGCTCCGCTTAACCGCGAGAAAAAAAAGATTTGGAAGCTTATAGTAGCAAAAGAGGGAGAAGACGGCTACTGAGGCGTCAAGCTTAATTAAAACAAAATTCAGGGCCTCAAGCTCAATTAAAACAAAATGCCAAAGAAGTACTTCCCTCTAGCCGGAAACGGCAAAGGACTCTTGAGTCACGTGGGGCACACGCGCCAAAGGCCCACGATAAGGAAACAAAATCGTGGGCTCCCTTACCTTGGCCTTTAAAATCGAACTTGGTGAAACGTGGACGCTTCTTAAGCAGGATTATTTTCCATCTCTTTCATGTCTGCTTTTCCCAGTTAGAGATACGGCCCTATCCACCGCGACAGCTACAGGAGTTCCTGCCCCTTTAGCCAAGACTTCCGCCCATGTCAAAGATGGCGATTGGTAGGCCTTCCCAGCCTCTACGTAGCTTGAGGGCGTCTGACGTCAGCACTGATGGGGGGAGGAGCGGTTAATACACAGCAAATGCAGGCGCTGCTTCGCGGGAGTCAGCCATGGACTGGAAAAAAGTCCTTCGTCGGCGGTTAGCGACGCCCAACACCGGTCTAAACCGTGAGTTGGGGCAGGACCGCCCGCTGGGCTGGCGGGGGCGCGGGGTGGGGGGCGCCTAGACTCTGCGGCGGGCCGGGGTTGGGGGGCGTGCGGTGAGTTGGGAGGAGGAGCAAGTGCGAGCCGCACTTCGCGCTTCTGTAGCATCCCCGGACCCAGGAGGCGGAGTGGTGGTATGTGTTTCTGTGATCCGCAGAGGTTTCTCCCAAACTTCGCTAGGAAGGGCCTTCGGGAGCGAAGACCTTAGCCTGAGCACTTACTTACATGGTTGTGATCTGGACTGGCCGGCGGTGACTGAGAACCCTGGCTCCACCGGCTCTTCGACCCCACCGCGATCATTCATTGAGCCTGTAGCCTTTCTGTCACAGTCACTTCCTTCCTTTTCGTTTTAGCTGTAATAATCCGTTTTTCTTTGTCCCTTTCCCTTCCTTTACACTTGCTTGTTAACCAAGCTCGTGAAATCTTTCTTCTTCCACATTCGTTCTCCGGGCAGCTGAAAGTGGCTGGAGAAAAATCGAACCAGGATGAGTCGTCTCACTGTTGACCCAGATCCGCTAACCTAGAGCAGGTGTTTCGGGCACGTCTGCTGTGTTTCCTAGGGCATCCACTGTAATAACACCGAGTTCTTGTCACCTCCCAAACCTCCGTCCATCCTTTTCCCTTACTGTCGGCTTTCCCAGTCCATAGCAAAGAGCCGGATTGGAAGTGGAGCAGCTGGGACTTGAACCAGTGCCCATGTGGGATGTTGGTGCTGCAGGCAGCAGCTTTACCTGCTATGCCACAGCACAGGTCCCCATGTTCAGTTTATAAGCACAATTATGAAGCCTTGTTGGCATTGCAGCTATGTTTTTCTAAAGATTGAGAGGGAGAGATAAAGGTCTTCCTTCCACTGGTTCACTCCCCAAATGGCCACAAGAACCAAAGTTGTGCCGATTCGAAGCCAGGAGCCGGGAGCTTCTTGCCAGTCTCCCACGCAGGTGCAGGGGCCCAAGCACTTGGGCCATCTTCTGCCACTTTACCAGGCCATAGCAGAGAGTGGAATCAGAAGAAGAGCAGCCGGGACTAGAACCGGTGCCCATATGATATGCTGCACTGCAGGCAGCAGCTTTACCCGCTGTGACACAGTGCTGGCCCCCATTGCAACTATTTTAAATGACCTGTAGTAGATAATGGACCTGATAAATAATATTCCTTTAAAAGTACTTTTCTCCCCTTCATTTGTTTTGTTACCAGGAAAAAAAAGTGAACAAGAATTAAAAGATGAAGAAATGGATTTGTTTACGAAATACTACTCCGAATGGAAAGGAGCTGGGAAAAACACAAATGAATTCTATAAGATCATTCCTCGGTTTTATTACAGGGTAAGTGATAGCTAAGCAGATGTTTTTCAGAATTTATAAATTAAATGTAATTTAAAATTTAAAATAATGTAATAAAATTTAAAATAAAATGTAATTAAAAATGGGATCAGAATTTTATATTTTAAAAGTAGTACTGTATTTGAAATATTGTATGTTATTTTATTCTTCTTGATCTTACACCTCTTATCAATTTGAATCCAGTGAAATCCTGAATTTTGATATAAATTGGTATAAGAACACAAAGTTATTCCTTGTACTTTTTTCTAAATCCTGGGATTTTTCTTAATTTTTATTGTGGAGGAGTGTAGTGTTATATTGTGTTATGTTGAGGTATGCAACACATTGTTATGAAGTGTAAAGGTTTTGCTTAAAATCTTTTGAAAGTAGACTGAAAATGGAAAACTTAGAGCTTCATAAGTTTCCTTATGTCAAAAGTGTAAAGAAGTCTTTGAGATTATAGACAAAACAGGAACACTAAGAAAGCTACCTGAAAGTGAAGTGCACTGAAAAGCATAAGACCTATTATTATATAGAATGTAGCCACTATAGAAAAGTCTCTTGAATCTAATTTTTTTATGATATTATTTGTTTATTTATTTAAAGGATGGAGTCACAAAGAGATGTTCCATTCTCTGGTTTACTCCCCAAATGCCCACAACAGCCAGAGCCAGGCCAGGCCAAAATCATTAGCCACGAATTCTCTCTGTGTCTCCCACATAAATGACAAGAATCCAAGCACTTGAGCCATTACCTGCTGCCTCTTAGGGTGTTAGCAAGAAGCTGGATTGGAAGTGGGGAGTGGGACTTCATTCCAGGTGGGATATGAGCTCCTAAGTGGTGGCCTAACTGTCTATACCACAACACCCAACCCTATTGTCTTCTAAACCAGTTATACCATTATTTGGAAAAATATTAAAAATCTTGTCTAACTGGGGAGGTAAGGGAGGAGTGCTGCGCTGTAGCTGGTAAAGCCACAGCCTGCAGCACTGGCATCCCGTATGGTCACTGGTCCATGTCGCAACTGTTCCGCTTCTGATGGACCCCTGCCACCCACGTTGGAGACATGGAAGAAGCTCCTAGCTCCTGGCTTCAGCCTGGCCCATCCCCAACTATTGTGGCCGTCTGGGGAGTAAGCCAACAGGTAGAAGATCTCTCTCTGTTTCTCCCTCTAAATCGTTCAAATAAGTAAATAAATCCTTTTTAAAAAATTGTCTAAAACACCCTTAAATAGCACTCTGACCTCAAAATTGGCCCTTAAGTCATTCAGATCTGGCTGAAAAGCCCATGAGAGCATTTCACACATGGAAAGCCAAGACACTGTGGCAAAAAATGAAAAATGGTCTACACGAAAGATCTCTGAGTGAGATCCCAGTGGAAAGAAGGAGCCTTCAAAGAAGGATGTACTTTGCTCTGAAGGGAGGAGAGAACTTCCACTTTGCTTATGGCCCTGTCTAAATACTGACCTGAGTTTGTGGACTCAAAAGGCTTCTATAGCCTTGGCAGCTCATGACAAGACCCTCGGGTGATCACTGACGTCATAAATAAGAGTGTCAATTGTTAAATCAACAACAGAATTCACTGTGCACTTGCTCCCCATGTAGGACCCCTGTCCTTAGTGAGTTGTACTATGAGAATTAACGGTAAAACTTGTCTTCAAACAGCACTTTATACATTATGTGTTTGTTTGGGTACAAACTGTTGAAATCTTTATTTAGCGTAGAATTGATCTTTTGTATATAAAGATAATTAAAAATGAATCTGAAAGAAGAATGGGATGGGAGAGGGAGTAGGAGGTGGGACAGCGTGGGGGTGGAATGGCGGGTATTGGGAGGAAGAACTGCTTTATTCCAAAAGTTGTACCTATGAAATTTATTAAATAAAAGTTTTCTTTAAAAAAAAAAGAAGAAAACAAAAAAAAATTGTCTAACTGGCATTCTTAAGGATTGCGGTATTAATGTATGAGTTATCCAGATCGTGAAACCATTCTTCAAATAAAAGTTTTTTTTCATGTGAACTTTTTTTAAAGGATTTAGTTACTTGAAAGGCAGAGTTTCAAAAAAAGAGATTTTTTTCGTCTACTGGTTCATTCCCCAAATGGCTGCATTAGTGGGGTTGGGCCAGGCTGAAACCAGGAGCCAGGAACTCTATCCTGGTCTCCTTTGTGAGTGGCAGGGCCCCAAGCCATCTTGCACTGGCTTTCCCAGGTATGTTAGCAGGGAGCTAGATCGGAAGTGGGGTAGCACCAAAACACCGGACCCTCGTGAACATTTTTATTGGAAACTCTTCCATAAAACTATAAGTCTTACAGTCTTTTCAGAATTATAAGACTAATCTTCATAGTGAAAAAGAGAAAAAAAATACAGCTAAGCAAGACAATATTTTCACATAATGTCACCCACAGATATTAAAAAATGCTTTTACACAAATCTTTCTACATGTTTTTGTAGGTGTGTGTGTATTTTAACAAAAACAGGATCATGTTTCCCTGCTCTCTGCATCTCACACTCTTCTTTGACAATGGAATGTTTTTGATAACCTAGTAGAGAGGGAAGGGAATTGACATTTTTGAGTGCCTAATTGCTGCAGAGTCCTTTCTACTTGTTGCTTCATATAATCTTTCTTTTTTTCTTTGACAGGTAGAGATATAGATAGAGAGAGAGACAGAGAGAAAGGTCTTCCTTCCATTCGTTCACTCCCCAAATGGCCACTACGGCCGGCGCTGTGCCTATCCGGAGCCAGGAGACAAGTACTCCTCCCTAGTCTCCCAAGCGGGTACAGGAGCCCAAGCACCTGGGCCATCGTCCACTGCCTTCCCAGGCCACAGCAGAGAGCAGGAAAGGAAGAGGAGCAACCGGGACTAGAACTCGGCACCCATATGAGATGCCGGCGCCGCAGGCGGAGGATTAACCAAGTGAGCCACGGCGCCAGCCCCCTCATATAATCTTTCTTATCAAGTAGTATTTTACTTACCCAGAAAGAACGCTTGAGTAGGAATTATCTAGCCCATTCCTGATCTCAGGACCAAACTTGCTTTCCTCTTCTGAGGGAATCTCTGTTTTCCTGTCTTCACACCCCTTTTTTCTTTGACTACTTTTGGATCCCTTATGGTGTGCTGTCTGCAGCTGTGGGCCCATGAAGGGTTTTTCCTTCTTCCTCTCTGTGTGTTTTTTTTTTTTTTTATCTTATGAGATTTATTTATTTATTTAAAAGGCAGAATTACAGAGAGGCAGAGGCAGAAGAGAGAGAGAGAAGTCATCCATCTGCTTGTTCACTCCCCAAATGGCTGCAACAGCTGGAGCTGGGACCATCAGAAGCCAGGAGCCTGGAGCTTCTTTCAGGTCTCTCACGTTCCACTGCTTTCCTAGGCCATAGCAGAGAGCTGGATGGGAAGAGGAGCAGTCGGGACACAAACCGGCACCCACATGGGATGCTAGCACTGCATGC